GGAAGCAGACGAAACTGTCTATGTCCCGATTCCCTACTGGCAATCTGGGTAACCTTTTCAGAGGATGGTATGATAAGAATAGGAGGTAGGAATTGGCTAGGCAGTTAAAAAACAAAAAAAAAAAAAAAAAAAAAAAAGTAGATCTAGACTGCATAAGAACTGCCATCCCCCCCCCTTTTGTTTACTATGGATAGAATTAAACACATATAAAGAGAATAACATAATGAGCATACATCTGCTCATTACTCAGGTTCAACAGTGACCAGTATGTGACCAATCTCTCAGGTGTTTTCTGTCTTCCTCCCCAGATTGTTTTAAGACAAATCCAAGGCATCTTTTACCTGTAAATATATCAGTATATACTTATAAGTGACAAGCCTTTTTTCTTCTTTAACTATAACACATAATAAGTCCTTAAGAGTGGTATCAAGCCAGGTGTGGTAGAGCATGCCTCTAATCCCAACACTCAGGAGGCAGAGACAGGTGGATCTCTATAAGTTCAAAGCCAGCCTGGTTTACATAGAGTTCCAGGCCCGCTGGAGCTACAGGTACACCCTGTCTCAAAAAGACCAGAGGAAAAAAAAAGTGACATCAAACAATTGTTTTCATATTTTTTTGATTTCCCTTTTTATTTATTTATTTATTTTTCATTTGGGTTACGTGAACCTGGTTCTAAAAAGGGTCCACTATTGTTTATTTCCTTTTTAAAACTTTTTTAAAATTTATTTTTATTTTATGTGTATGAGTGTGTTCCTGCATGTATGTAAGTGCACCACAAAAATACAATGCCCACGAAGGTCAGAAGAGGGTGCCAGATTCCCCTGGAACTGGAGTTTCAGATGGTTATTAGCTACCATATGGGTGCTGGGAACCAAACCCAGGTTCTCTACAAGAGCAACCAGTGCTCTTAACCAGTGAGCCTTCTCCATAATTGCTTATTTCTTTTTTTTTTAATTTTTTTTATGTGTTTGAGTGTATTGCCTGCATGTAGGTAAGTGCACTCTGCAATACCTGAGGTGGACAGAAGAGGCCGTCAGATCCCCTGGAACTGGAGTTACAGACAGTTGTTAGCTGCCATGTGGGTGCTGGGATTCGAATCCTGGTCTTCTGTAAGAACAACCAATGTTCTTAATCTATGAGCCATCTCTCCAGCCCCACATTGCTTATTTCTTAAGCCTCTTTTATCTGTTAGTTTCTCCTCTTAGTTTCATAGAGATTTGTTCTTTGCTGTTTTCATAAAGAAATTCTAGTGTTCTGAATTTTACTGATTATTTCTGTGTATTGGTATTTAACATACTGTCGTGTTGTGTGTCGTGTCTCTGTCCCCCACCCCCACCCCACATATTTCTTATAAAACGATGGTTAGAATTTCAGCTTTCATTTCTTTTAACAGGGGTAGTTCGGAAGAGGATGTGTGCTTTCTGCTGTATCATAGGAGCCACTGTCTTGTTTTTCTTCAGCCTAATTCACCTATTTTGAATTCCCATTAATTTTTCTTCCAGTGTTTTTCTTTTCTCTTTTTTTTCCAGCCCATTAGTAAGCATTGCCTAGACCCTTTGTTTCAATGGGATTCTAAATATATTATTATAATTGTATCATTTCTTCATTTATTAGTTTTAAAAATCTTCCTTTTAAAGTACTCTATCAGCTTATCCAGAGGTACATTTGTTGCACCAAATTTTACCCCTCTGTGGGACCCGAATGTGCTCTCTGTGATCCCAGGGTCACTCGACCCTAACCAGGATTGACAAACCCGACATGATACATTCTCTTTGGGTTTTAGCATGGTTTGTGACATCCAGGAAAGTGACTTACAGAGGAATGAACTCCCGCTGGCCCATTTTCTACATTTTGGCTAAGCTTTGAGTTCTGCGACCAACACCACTTGCAACCCTTCTCCCAGTCTGCCAGCTGCACGACTGGCGGCTCTGAGCTCTGTTCCAAAATGGCGACTACTCCTTTTTGGTCTTTTTGAGACAGGGTCTCCCTGTAGCCCCAGCTGTCCTGGAACTCAGGATGTAGACCAGGCTGGCCTTGAACTCACAGAGATCCACCTGCCTCTGCCTCCTGAGTTCTGGGATTAAAGGCGTGTGCCACCACACCTGGCCTTATCCTGTGGCTTCTGGACAGAGACACACAATGGCAAAGAGAGCCCTGCCTCGTGACTTTCCCGGTTTATATATCCTTAACCCCTCCCCTTCGTGCAGACTCCTTCCACAGAGCATGGGAGAGTGATTGGAGGAACTTCCAGGTTACACTATTTCATATCGAAAGTTGGGGTTAATATTCAATTCCTTTATTTTCATCAGTTTTTAAAAAAATGAGATGTTTCTCTAGTATTTTCCTGCAAGGTGCCCTTGAACTGGAAGCAATCCTTCTGCCTCATCCTTACAAACATAGGGATTACAGGAGTATGCCATCAGTCCAGGCCTGAAGCTTTTTAAGTTCAAAATGTTTCACCTTTGATTAGTGGAACTTTTTTCAGATTGGCTCCTGATTCATTTTGACCAGATTAGATGGCAGTCTTTACAGCATCCTTATTTTTAGGACAATTCCGTATACCATGTTCACTCTCTTTATTTCATGCTCCAAATCTGGAATCATCGTTTCTTCCATTAAGCCCTGGTTCTTTTTAGTGGGAAACACTATTGAGAGATGGCAGTCTAGATGCTATGTGTGCCTTTTGCAACGGAATTGGTCATTGTTTCTAATTCTTTTCAAGAAGATGGAGTTAGGAAGTCATTAAAATTTTTTCTGATGATGTATTTTTATTTTATGTGTATGAGTGTTTTGCCTGCATATTTTTTCTTTTCTTTTTGGCCTTTTTGAGACAGGGCCTCCCTGTAGCCCCAGGTGGCCTAGAACTTGCTGTGCCCCATGGCCTCGAACTCACAGAAATCTGCCCCGAGTGCTGGGATTACAGGCATGTGCCACCACACCCAGCTTGGCTGCATGTTTTAAGTGCACCTGTGCTGTTCAATGCCTGTGGAGGCCAGAAGAGTGCATTGGATCCTCTGGAACTGGAGTTTCAGATGGTTGTTAACTGCCATATGGGTGCTAGGAACCAGAACCAGGTCCTCTGGGTAGCCAGTGCTCAAAAGCACTGAGCCATCACTCCAGCCCCAGGAAGTACACTTTTATTTATTTGTTTATTTATAATATTTTTTTTTCATTTTACATGTATGAGTGTTATTGCCTACATGTATATAAGTGCGTGCATTTCATGCAATGCCTGTGGAGGGCAGAAGAGAGGGTCAAATTTCCCTGTTATGGATGGTTGTTAGCCACCATGTGGGTGCTGGGAATCAAAACTGGGTCCTCTGCAAGAGCAGCCAGTGCTCTAACCATTGAGCCATCTCTCCAGCCATGGTTATCTTTAATTTTTATCAGACATTTTGTTATTAAGAGGACATGTTCACTGGGTATGGTGGCGCACGCCTTTAATCCCAGCGCTTGGGAGGCAGAAGCTGGTGGATCTCTGTGAGTTCAAGGCCAGCCTCGTCTACATAGTGAGTTCCAGGCCAGCTGGGGCTACAGGGAGACCCTGTCTCAAAAAGACCACAAAAAAAAAAGAGAGAGAGAGAACATGTTCTATTGAATTCTTTTGAGGGTCACAACTTGGACTAGAGCCTTACTATTTCAGTCACAGCATTTTTAAATGTGGTAATATGGTAAATAAATAATTCTTTGGTCTTATCACAGTATTAGGACTAATGTTTTAAAGTGATTACCTGATTCTACAGGGTCGGAATCTGGCTGATCTTCGACGTAGCCAGTCCCGGGGCACATTCACCATTAGCACTACTCTACGTCTTGGGAGACAGATTCTGGAGTCTATTGAAAGCATTCATTCTGTGGGATTCCTGCACCGAGACATCAAGCCGGTAGGGACCTTTTCCATTCCAAGCACAGAAGGATATTGTTTAGTATTTCTAATGTTATAAGAAGATACAATAAATTATATATGTAGTTTTCTGTATTTGTTATGATTAAATACAAAGGAATATTTTTATTTCTGTAAAGTTCTGAAAGCAAAATATAACTTACCTTACCTTTTAGTTTTTTTTTAAGTGCTAATTGAAAACTATAACTTACTCCAATAACTTTTTCTTTTTCTTTTTTATTTTTTATGTGTTTGAGTGCTTTGCCTGCATGTATATATGTGTACCACATGAATGCCTGGTACCCATGGAGGCCAGGGGAGGCAGAAGAGGGTGTTGGGTCCCCTGAAACTGGAGTTGCAGGGGTTGTGAGCTGTCATGTGAGTGCTGGGAATTAAAGTCCGGTTCTCTGGAAGAGCAGCAAGTGTTGTTAACTGCTGAACCATCTCTTCTGCCCCTCAGTAGCTTTTCTCATACCATGAAATGTTGATTGCCAAGCAAATTAAAACAGTCTATGCTCAGGGCTGGGAGATGGCTCAGTCAGTAAAGTGCTGAGGACTCAGGTCCATGCCCAGAACTCATGTAAACAAAACCAAAGAGCTGGGTGTGGTGGTACAGATGAGCACTGGGGAAGGAGACAGGAGGATCTCTGGGGCTTTACTGGGCAGCCAAGCCTAGCCTGTATCATAAGTTCCAGGCTACTGAGAGACCCTGTCTCCAAATAAGTAAGTAAGTAAGTAAGTAAGTAAGTAAGTAAGTAAATAAATAAATAAATAAATAAATAAATAAATAAATAAATAAAAATGTGGACAACACCTCAGGAATGATACCTGAGGATGTCCTCTGGTCCCCACATGCATGTACACACACACACAGTGGTTTGCCAGTTACTATTAGATATTTTTACATTGCTAATCTCTCAGCCTTAAGTCGTTCATTTGTCTTTTGTTTTTCCTGATACTAGTTGTCCATGTTGTGTTCTCTGTCGCTTAAGTCACCAGTTGTATTTACAAGAAACAACTATGAAAGACCTTATTTTTCTTCTCAGGGCTACTATGGAAGTACAGGCTTTTGCTTTTTCTGTTTCGTTTTTCTTAGAAATCATCATTTTCATTTCTGAAATGTGATTTTCCTTTTTTCTTTTGGGTGTTTATTCTTCATGAGGGGAAATGACCTATTTTTCTTTATAATACTGTATTTACTATAAATTTAACTGCCGTTGGTGCAGTTTAAAAGTACAGCCATCTATTGTTATATCACTTCTAAAATTAGTTTACATGAAAATGGCAGTGAAGTTTCTAACTAGTGGTTTGTTCAGTTGCTAGACCCACACTGAAACTGAAAATGAGTTATCTGTTAGTATTACATTTAAATAAAATGGTATGATTAAATAATTTATTTTATTAGTTTTTCTTTGCTTTCAAGACAGGGTCTCCTTGTAGCCCCAGCTGGCCTGGAACTCTTATGTAGACCAGGCTGGCCTTGAACTCACAGAGATCTACCCACCTCTGCATGGGATGAAAGGCATGCACCACCACTCCCAGCTTAACTGATTTATTTAATATCAGTTATTGCATGTGGAGGTTCAATTTAAAAAGATTCACAGCTTGGAAGTGAATCTTTAAGGCTATATAGCATTTCTCTTTCTCTGTGTCTTTCTGTCTTATTGAAGAAATCCAACTATTAGGTTTCCATTTCATCAGAAAGCTCATAATAAAGCAGTCCAATTGTGTAACAATTTGGCTTTTACCATTACAGATTTCTTTATTTATGTAAACTGTCTTTGCAATTTTGTAGTCATTTAACACATTACACTGATATTTTTTTCAGTTTTTTGAGACAGGGTCTCATGTAGCCTAAGTTGGCCTCCAACTTCCTGTGTAATTCAGGATGACCTTGAACTTCTGTTCCTCTTGCCTCTGTTTCCTGAATGCTGGGATTACAGTCATGCTCCATCAAGCCTGGCCACATCAGTTTGTTTTTTAAGGGAATAACACAATGTATCTTTTCCTTAGGTCTTTTGTGAAATTTAGCTTTATGGTACTTAGAGGGTATGCTTTTATACTTGATGTGGTTTTTTGTTTGTTTGTTTTGAGACATGGTCTCACTGTGTAGCCCCAGCTGACCTGGAACTCAATATGTAGACTAGGCTGGTCTTGAAGTCATAGGATCTCAGTATGTAGCCCTGACTGGCCTGGAACTTGCTATGTAGACCAAGCTGGCCTTGAAGTAACAGAGATCCACCTGCCTCTGTCTCCTGAGCTCTGGGGTCGAAGGTATGTGCCACCACACCTGGCTCTTAAACTTGACCTTAACCAAAAGGTTGAGAAGTGGGAGAAATTCTTTCTGAGATATGTTTATTTTTTCCAAACCCTAGTTTCCCTTGTTTTAGTGATTGGGCTGTCATTTAAGCAATGACTTAGACTAGAATTTCAAAGGATTCTAGTTCTGAGTTTAATTACATCAGTATTATATTATATGCAACTATACAATCATGTAAATTCATTTTTGCTGACAATTTACCAATTCCTTGATGGTAGGCATTAATAGAGCCAACAACTAAATTTATATATATATATAAAATGTCTAATAAAAATCATGGATTACAAATAATATATTTTAAACATGTAGACTTTAAAAGAATTTAAGGGTAAAATGTCAGAGGATTTACTACAAGAATATGTATTATATTTTCCATTTTTATTTTTCTAGTCAAACTTCGCCATGGGACGCTTTCCCAGTACATGTAGGAAATGTTTCATGCTTGATTTTGGCTTGGCCCGACAATTTACCAATTCCTGTGGTGACGTCAGACCAGTAAGATTTTCTATATTACTATTTTGTATTAGATAATTAACCTGCTATTTATAGTATCGCTTTAAAGAAATGCTAATGCTATATCAGAATGAATGTTATATAGAGGTGGAGTATAGCTCAATGAATAAAAGCATGGATGTTATCTAAAAAGTGGCATTTTGATTTTTTAATTACATTATAGAACAAAATTAATAAATTTTATTATTGAAAGTTATGACTTTATAGTTAGATATATCAAAAGCTGCTTTAGAATAGTCCTAGTACTAAGAACATTTATTCCCTTTTTGAGATTAGGGTTTTTTCTTACTGTCTGATGCCCTTCCTACCTTCTATTTCCATTATATTCTTTCTCTCTCCCTCCTTCCTCCCCTCCTTTTTCTCCATCTCTGCCCCTTCCAACATATGCAGCACAGGCTGGCCTCAAACTTGTGATCTCTCTGCTTCAGTCTCCTGACTGCTTTAATTGCAGGCATGCACCACCACACCTGCCTCGCTATTGTACTTTTCAAGTCCAGTATTTTTATTTGGTTTTCTTTATTGATGTGTGTACCCATGTATGCATTCAGAGGCCAGAGGAAGACATAAGATTTCTAACTCTATCACTGTCCTCTTTATTTCCCCAAGACGGGGTCTCTCACTGAACCTGGAGCTAGGCTAACTGCCAGCAAGGTCAGTGGTCCTCTTGTCTCTGCTTCCCAACAGTGCTGGGGTAATACGTACATGTGTGACCACTCCTGGCTTTTTCTGTGGGTTCTGAGGATTTGAAATCAGGTCCCGGGCCATCTTCAAATCCTTTTATTGATATTTCTTATTTAATACCCCATTGTTGTCCTACTTTAGTTCTTTAATCAAGCTTTCCTTTAGTTGCTTTGAAGATGTTTCCTATTAAATCACCCTCAGGCATTTTCTATTGCCTGCTTCCCCCCCCTCCCCATGTATGGTCAAACTTTCCAGGAATTCTATTAAATGTCAAAGGATTAAAGGCATGGGTCACCTCACTTGCTCAGACAATTTTATTTGTAGAACACATTTTTTTTTCTTTTGAGTCAAGGTGGCACTCTATAGTCCAGGCTGGTTTGGAAGTTACCTAGTAGACCAGTCTGGCCTCCATTTGCAGCAATCCATCTTTCTCTTAAGTGCTGGGATTATAGGTGGAAACTAACATGCCCAGCTATATGACACTTTTGTGCTGGATAGCTTCAGTTATCAACTTGACGCCTGGGAACCTCATTTGGAGAATTTTCTCTATTGATTTGGCCTGTGGGCATGTCTCTGAGGCATTTTATTGATTGTTGAATGATATGGGAGGGCTCGGTGGTGCCACTCCTGAAAAAGTGGTCCTGGGTTGTATAAGAAAGCAGGCTAGGCCGGGTGTGGTGGCGCACACCTTTGATCCAAGTACTCGGGAGGCAGAGGCACAGGCCAGAGGAGCAAGCCAGGAAGCAGCATTGCTCTGTGGTCTGTGCTTCAGTTGCTGCCTACAGGTTCCTGCCCTGAGCTCCTGTCTGACTTCCCTTGGTGTTAGGCTGTGACCTCAGAGTTGTAAGATGAACTAAACCCTTTCCTCTCAAGTTGGCTTTGGACAGTATCACAGCAATAGAAAGTAGTCTAGAACAACCTTTAAAGCTTATCATTTAATTAAGAGTTTGTAACAAATACATTTTTATTTTCATAGCAGGGACTTTTGGGTAATCAATAAGAATAATAATTGGTCCATTAATTGAATAGTTTTGTTAAAGCCAGGGAATCATATGAATACATATATACCTTAAATGTTCTTATGGGTGGTGCATGATGGTGCAGGTCTTTAATCCTGCAGAGGCAGATATATCTCTGTGAGATTGAGGCCAGCCTGTTCTATATAGTGAGTTCCAAGCCAGCTGAAGCTACAGGAAGACCCTGTCTCCAAAAAAAAAAAAAGATTTTTTTTAAATGTCTTTTTTTTAAAGATTTATTTTTGTGTGTGTGCATGTGTATCAGTGTGAATGTCTGTCCCATGTGTGAGGGGAGAGGAAGGTATCAGATCCCTTGGAACTGGAATCAGGCAGTTGTGCCCAACATGGATGCTGGGAACCAAACCAGGGTCTTCTGGAATAACAGCAAGTGCTCTTAACCTCTGAGTTATTCTGCCACTTCAAGGCCTTCTTTTTTTGGTCTTTTTGAGACAGGGTCTCACTGTAGCCCCAGCTGCTCTGGATCTCACTATATAGACCAGGCTGGCCTTGAACTCACAGAGATCTACCTGCCTCTGCCTCCCAAGTGCTGGGATTAAAGGTGTGTGCCACCCAGCCTGGCCTCAAGGCCTTCTTTAACCGACTTTTCTTTATCTTTGCTCGCCATCTGCTTCATGTCTTAGCAGTTTTGTTTCCCTTATACCCACTCTTCTTTCTTCTTCCTACCTTGCACTTATCTGAAATGTGTTTCCTTCCAGTTGCTATTCTGTCAGTCCATAAGGGCTCAGTTTAGTTTTTCTTTTCCATTTTTATTAAAACACTATAGGTATTTATTTTAAGAAAACTTGCTCTTAGATTATTCAGGATGCTAACTTTTTACTTTATCTTTCAGGATGTATTTTCACTATAAATCTTAAATAAAATTCACATGGTGTAATGGACCTTGAATTAGAATTATTTGCATATATTATTGCTTCCCTGGTTAGACTTGAGTTGCCTTTAGTGCATTAAATAAGGTGATTGAATTTCCTCTACTTGGATTTCTTTGATTAGTTACATCAAGATTTATCTGAACAGCTCATCTCTCTACTTCAATTTCAACCTTCCATAGCACTTGAAGTCACATCAGAGCCTTGCCAGGGGTACTCGTAAGTAGGAAGATCTGCTAGGCTTGTCTGTGCTGAAATCCATCATGGGACATCTAGATGCCCAATTAACTGTGGACTGGGCTATGGATTATGGTAATGGGTCTGGATATTTTCATTCTGTCAGTTATTTGAATGCAAATAATTAGATAAAATTGAATGCTACAAAAACAACTATGCTGAGGGCTGTATCAGCCATTGCATGAAAGTACAACTTTTGAAGTATTATTCACTGAAAAGCATTGGTAGTAGGCTTTCATATTTTTAGATTAAAAAAAATTATTATTTTTATTTTATGTATATGAGTGTATCTCCTGCACGTATTTAAGTGCACTCATGTCATACAATGCCTGTGGAGATGGAGAAGAGGGCATTGGATCCCCTGGAACTGAGTTACATTTATTAGCAGCCATGTAGGTGCTGGAAATCGAACCTGAGTCTTCTACAAGAGCAGCCAGTGCTCTTAAGCTGCCAAGCCATCTTTCCAGCCCTGATTTTTTTTTCTTATATAAAGAATGATCTCAGATCTGGCTCCACTAAAAAAATCCCATTACTCATGATATCTTAGAAAACATATTGAGATGTACTAACTATGATTGTCAGTAACTGCCAGCATAGAATATGAAAAGCACTATCCAGGTGTGGTGGTGCATGCCTTTAATCCCAGTACTTGGAAGGCAGAGGCAGGTGGCCAGCCTGGTCTACATAGTGAATTCCAGGCCAAGGTAGCTGGGGTTATAGGGAGACTCTGTCTCAAAAAGACAAATAGAATAGAATAGAATAGAATGGAATGGAATGGAATGGAATGGAATAGAATAGAATAGAATAGAATTAGAATAGAATAGAATAGAATAGAATAGAATAGAATAGAATAGAATAGAATAGAATAGAAAATGAAGAGCACTGTCTGTTCCCCAGTTCCAGGGGATTCAACACCCTCTTCTGGCCTCTATGGGCTTTGCATGATATGGATGCACTTATATACATACAGGCAAAACTCTTGTACACATAAAATAAAGATAAATAAATCAAAAAATTTTTTAAAGATGAAGATTTCAAAAGATTGTAGAAAAAAATTTAAGGTTTTTTGTTTTGTTTTTATTTTATGCATATGCATGTATTGCCTGCATGTAAGTGCACCTATGTCATGCAATGCTCATGGAGGACAGAAGAGGGCATCAGATCTCCTGGAACTGGAGTTATAGACAGATGGTTGTTAGCTGCCATGTGGGTGCTGGGATTTAAACCTAGGTCTTCTGCAAGAACAGCCAGTGCTCTTAACCGCTGAGCCATCTCTCCATCCCCTTGTTTTGTTTCTTAAGATAGGGTCTTCCCTATTACCAAGTACTACAACTGGTTACACACAGACATTGTCTATGCCCAGGCCTAAGTGACACATCTACAATGCAACCTCTACGTCTAAGGCATATGGAACATAGAATAGGGGTAACGAAGACAATACTAAAGAATTTCTCAATTCTCATTAATGAAGATCCCTCATGCAACAGAAGGACAGGAATGCAAAAGGCTACAAATGGCCAAAATGTAGAGATTAAGAGTCTACAGATTGTTGGTCAATGGGCAGGACTCCTATATTAAACTTCATCTACCTAGGGCTCAGGGATCATCATGGAAGAGGGGGCGGAAAGATTGTAAAAGCCAGGGAGGAGGTGCACAACCATATGGAAACAGTCCTACAAGCTCCTGGGAATCTGCTCATTTGATTCTATGACAATGGTGTTAGCATACAAAAATTCTGTGCAAACTCAGACAAAAAACCAGCACATAACTGGGGAAATGAACAGCAGACCCCAGTCTTAGCTGAGGAAACATTGGCAGCTGATTACTGCTGGGTGAGGAAGAGCTGATCTTCCTAAAACAAGAGACTCTAGATAGGTTGACTAGACCTCAGTGGATAGACTTGCACAGGGAAACATCTTGGGGGAACTGACTTGACATATTGGGCCTTAATACAGATGACAGAATGACAGAATATATGGGCTGGGGGGGTGGCTGTGGGAGCATACCAGTGGGGATGGGGATATAAAGATGATTAAGATTCTTTGAGCTCTTCTGTATAAAATACAGAAAAATTCAGTAAAAACAAATTTTAAAAAAAAGTGAACCCTCACTAGGTATGGAATGTACCATGGCGTTGGAACTTTCCAGAGTTCAGAACTAAGTGATATCTGTTTCTATTAATTATATACATATATTGTATTACAATATAATACATATATGGTATTTTGTTACAGTAGCCTCAAAGTACTAAGATAAGTGGGATATATAAATAATTTTATTCAGCAACTGTGGGCCAATATTACTTGATCCATTTTTGTCCTTAATAATGAAAATTATTATATTAATGATCACTTACTATATGCCAACTTATATTATGAATACTGCATGTACATTATTTTAGGAGTCAAAAAACTGTGGTCCAAACTGTGTTCTGCTACCTGTTTGAAAAAAAAATTTATTGCAGCACACACACACAAAAAAGAGAGGTTCTCCTTGTAGCCCCAGCAGGCCTGGAACTTGCTGTATAGACCAGGCTGGCCTTGATCTCATTAAGATCTGCCTTCCTCAGCCTCTGGAGTGCTGAGATTAAAGGTGTGCACCACCGTGCCCAGCGTTGTAGAAATTTTTTTATTACTGAGACTTATACAGAGAATAATTTCAAAATAGTTTTTTTTAAAAGGTATTTAAAGAGAAAGGGAAAAATGAAAAAAATGATATAAACACTAGCTTGAACAGAGTAAACATAGATTATGAAAGTGAGCAAATAGAAGAATTCATAGACTGTGTATCTTACTCTTTTGTATGTGAGGAAATGATTCTTATAAAGTTGTGAGTTTTTTTTGTTCTTTTGATGGTGGTGCTGGTGGTCAACCTTGGGGCCTTGGAGTAAGTGCCATACCACTGCTACACCTCAGTCCAGAATTTTTAAAATACCATGTACTATAGTGTTTTTTAAACAATAAAAACAGTATATACTGAGGGAAATTTGAATTACTGAAAAAAGCCAGGTATGGTGTCATGTGCCTTTCGGAGGCAGAGGCAGGTAAGATCCAGCCCAGCCAGGGCTCCATAGTGAGATCCTGTCTCCAAAAGGTGGGGGGCACTGGAGAGATGGCTTACAACCACTCAAAAAAATACAGTTCGCTGGGCATGGTGGTGCACGCCTTTAATCCCAGCACTCGGGAGGCAGAGGCAGGCGGATCTCTGTGAGTTCAAGGCCAGCCTGGTCTACTTAGTGAGTTCCAGGACAGCTGGGGCTACAGGGAGACCCTGTCTCAAAACAGACCAAAAAAAAAAAAAAAAAAAATACAGTTCAAGAGAATCTAATGCCCTCTTCTGACCTCTGTGGGCATTGCATGACAAGGATGTACTTACATACATGGAGGCAAAACACTCATACACATAAACAAAAGATAAATTTTAAAAAATGAAATTTCTGGAAAAAATCTAGTGAAAATAATTATAAGTTTGTAAGTTTTCATATTGAGCTATGGTGGCTCTCTGATTCTTGGTAGTGACTTGACCCTTCTGAAGCAGTAGAATGGAAACACTGTATGGTCTGAAGTTGAAAGGTCATATGCAAGAACTTATTTTGTCACTTGTTAAGTTCACAAACAAGTTACTCTCCTCAGAGACTTGTTAAAAATATTTTAAAGAGTTTTATATATGGGGCTGGAGAGATCTCAGCGGTTAAGAACACTGGTTGTTCTTGGCAGAAGACCAAGGTTCAAATCCCAGCACCCAGCTAACAACTGTCAGCTGACAACTGTCCATAACTCCAGTCCCAGGGGATCCGACAGCCTCTCTTCTGTCCTCTGTGGGAATTGCATGACACAGGTGCACTTACCTACATGCAGGCAATATATGCATACACATAAAAATAATAAATTTTAAAAAAGATTTTTATATTAGGTTACAAAATTACAGGTTTTCAACTAGGATTTTTATGCACATTTTGTTTTGATTCCCTCCCACTTCCCCTCATCTCTCTGACCCCCTTTTCCTTGCTATGGTCTTTCTTCCACAGTATTTCTGTTTTCATTTTGTTCTGTTGTCTTCTCCTGTAGCCCCAGCTGTCTTGGAACTCACTATGTAGACCAGGCTGGCCTCACTCACAGAGATCTGCTTGCCTCTGCCTCCCAAGTGCTGGGATTAAAGACATATGCCACCACACTTGGCCTTTTTTTTTTATTATGTATTTTTAATTTTATATGTATGATTATATTGCCTTATATTGCCTGCATGTATGTAAATGCACTGGGTCAGTGCCCGTGGAGGTCAGAAGAGAATTTTGGATCCCCTGGAACGGGAGTTATGAACGGTAGTTATGCCATGTGGGTGCTGGGAATCAAACCTGGGTCCTCTTCAAGAGCAGCCAGTGCTCTTAACTGCTGAGCCATCTCTCCAGCCCCATGGATCCCATTCTTCTATTTTTTACCCTATTAACTCCCACCTGGATACACTTATTTGAATTGTTAGAGTCTATGATCCACATATGAGAGAGAACATGTGATGATTTGTCTTTCTGAGTCTTGGTTGCCTTGAGTAACACAATGTCTTCCAGTTTCATTCATCTTGCGTGCATTTTGTCATTCCATTTTTCTGGACAGCTGAATAGAATTCCACTTTGTAGATATGCTACATTTTCATATGTTGATGGTAACAGTAGGTGAGGATCCCTCTTTGTGCATATTTTTGTCAGCATTTGTTATTGTCGTATTTTCTTGATTGTGGCCAAGCTGGCTGGGGTGAGATGGGCTGCTGGGGAGAAGAGTCAGTCTCTTGTGAGAAAATCTCAAAATAGTTTTAGTTTGAATTTCTTTGATGGCCCGTGATGTTGACATTTTAAAACAATGCCTATTGTCCATCTGTATTTCTCATAGAAACTGTCTGTTCAGGTCATTTTCCCATTTATTGATTTTCTGTTTGGTTTTTGGTGTTTAATTTTAGCAGTTCTTTATTGTGTGTTCATTCTGGTGACAGTTTCTTTTGCTATGTAGAAGCTTTTTTTATTTCATGTAATCCCATTTGCCAATTCTTGGGGCTGTTTCCTGTGCTATTAGGGTTGCTTACATCTATATCTTGAAGTATTTTCTCTGTTTTCTTTTAATACTTTCAGCATTTCGCATGTTATTTGGATGTTTCTGTCTCTATAGTTTAGTTGGCGTTTTTCCATTTCAGCTTTTAGTAGTGTTTCTTTGCTTTGTATTTTTGACATCTTGACCATGATATATCATGGAGAGGAGGTTCTCTCATCACATTTATTTGGAATTCTAAATGCTTCCTGTGTTCGGATATCTATTTCTCTAGGTTTGGAAATTCTTGACTATAATTTTATTGTCTAAGCCTTTTGATATAATTTATCTCAGCTCCTTCTCCTATTCCATATATTCTTAGGTTTGGCCTTTTGGGTATCCCAGAGTTCTTGGACATTTGAGTTATGTTCCTTGATGCTTTTGTTCTTTATATATGTTTGTAGATATTGTTATCTCTACCTTGCCCTCTGTCCCTGATAACCCCTTCTGCCTGGTCTTGCCAGTTGATGCTTTCTTCTGTATTTTATATTTGATTAATTGTTTCTGTGTTTATAAAATGAGCTTTATAAAATGAGCAAGACAAAGAACTTATGCCTTCAGAATATATCCTGTGGAAGGAAGACAACCAATAAATAAAATGTAAAGAAATAGGTGATAAAGTAATCATATAAGTAAAATATATTTTTGTGGGTAAAAAGCATTATAGAATGTGGCAAGTGTAAAAGAACAGAGTGGCATTGCAGGTGGGGGAGTGGTATTGTAGATCAGGATGATTAATAGTTTTCAGTAGGTGACATTTAAACAGAGGCTTTAACCTGAAGGAAATCTAGCCATGGGAGGCATGCAAGGAGATGACATTCTGAAGAATTTAGCAAGTGTAAAATCTTGAGCTAGAATGAAAATTGGTGGTAGAAGAAACTATAGTAAATGCACTGTGGAGAGGAAGACAAGTCATGGAGTCTTGTAAGCCAAATGCAAATTGTTTCTACACTATTTGATGTTGCACTGTCCAAGGACTGGGATCATATCTGGCTTAATTCCCATTACCTAGCATATGTATCCAACAATTTGAATGTTTAATGTATTAATTGCTTATGCAGTTAAAGTACAGTTTTCACCACCTTTGAATTAAGTTTGAATGAAATAGTCAAGATATGAAGAAGTTGGTATCTTTGGTTATTTGCTGATGGCTTGTATTGTTATATGTATTTGTAACTAGAGCCTATACACTATGTGTATACTATGATTCTTTGATACTGGCATAATTCTGAGTCAATGAAAACATTTGATGTTTTCTAATATACAGAATTGTGTGTGTATATATATATATATATCATAAACACATCTATCATCTAATCTATCTTTTGTATGTGTGTGTGTGTGTGTGTGTGTGTGTGTGTGTGTGTGTGTGTGTGTGTGTGTTGATAATGCTGGGGATCAAACCCAAAGCCTGTATATGGTAGGCAAATGCTCTACCCTGAGGTGCATCTCCATCATGTTATACTTTAAAATGCAGATAGCTCAGTAGGTAAAGGTACTTGTTGTCAAGCTTGATACCTGAGTTCAGTCCCATGGACCACTTGGTGGAGGGTAAGAACTGACTCCTGAAAGTTGTCCTCTGACCTCCAGTGCACACTGTAGTATGCCTCCTACCACCTTAAACATCATGCACACTCTAAATAGATAAATAAATAAATTTTTAAAATATTTAAAGACATAGAAGAGGACTGAAATACAATAACTAAAACATCAGTGTATTTTAAGTTGTGGTTTAAAGATATTCTTTCTAGTTTTTAATAATTTTTTTTACCATTTGCTTCATAATGTTCAACTGTGTTGAATCTGTTGCTGTTTAAGTTAATTTCCTACTATTGTGTGATTTATTATAGCCCCGTGCTGTGGCAGGTTTTCGAGGGACGGTTCGTTATGCATCAATCAACGCTCATCGGAACAGGGTAGGTGTCTGAACTAGGGTCATCATATCTGCATATGAATGCTCATGACTTGAATCAGATTGATTTCTTTATACTATAGTTCAAAGGTGTAGAAAGTACTTGGAAGTGGGGCTGGAGAGATGGCTCAGTGGTTAAGAGTACTGACTGCTCTTGCAGAGGACCCAGGTTTGATTCCCAGCACCCACATGGCAGCTACGAACCATCCTTAACTCCAGTTCCAGGGGAATCCGAAGCCCTCTTCTGACCTCTGCGGCATGCATGACACGGGTGCACTCACATACATGCAGGCAATACACTCATACACATAAAATAAAAATAATAAACTATTAAAAAAGAAAGTACTCAGGAGCACACGATCCCTTTGGTAGCTACAAATTTACCTCAGTGGTTGTTCTAATTCATGTTTTTGTATAATGCTGTAGGGAAAGGAGTTCATAGTATTAATTCATGGTAAGATGTATAATGGATAAAATATGTGCAGCTTCATAGAAAATAAATTTTCATATACCAGAAAAGGAAATAACTAAGTATGTGTGTGAGAAATATGTCTAATTAGATATTAGTATTACAAATTAAATATAGAAATTTGAAGAAATAAATACCTGTATTCTGTTTCAAGAAATTATTTGTGGGACTGGAGAGATGGCTCAGTGGTTAAGAGCACTGGATACTTTTGGAGAGGACCCAGGTTCAGTTCTCAGGACCCACATGGCAGCTCACAACCACCAGTAACTTCAGTTCCAGGGGATCCAATGCCCTCTTCTGGCCTCTGCAGGCACTGCATGACATGGATAAACATATTCAGGCAAAACACTAAAATTTTATTATTATTTTATTGCATGGTATTTTACACATAAAATAAAAATAATGAATAAAATATTTTTTAAAAAAGAGATTATTTGTGGGTTGGTTCCAGCAATGCAAGATAGTTCAGCAGGTAAAGGTACTTGCCTCCAAGCCTGACAACCTGAGTTTGATCCCCAGAACCCACATGGTGGAAGGAGAGAACCAACTCCTGTCCTCCAACCTCCACATGAATGCATACACACACATCCATATATAATAAATAAATGTAATTAAAAATTTTTAAGAAAAAAAGATTTGAATATCACACTGTCAATATCTAATATAGAGATCATTTTCTTTATAATGTGTTTCTAATCTGTAATAACCTTTGTACACCAAGCCCTTTATATTTATGAATATTCCTCAAATACAGACAACTTTAATTTTTTTTAATTATTCCTTCTCTCTGGGTTAAATTTTTTAAAATATCTACTTTCTTTGGTTCTGATGATTTAGCCTCCCTTTTTCCTCCCCTCATCCTAGGCTTTGGTTATGAGTAGGAAAGGAGGGCATTTAATGGAATGTCTATCTTTAAATTTGTCTGCTTGAGAAATTTAGCAAGTATATCTTTGATAAAAGGAAATCTTTTCTTAATACTTTAAAAAAAATCTTGTTCCTATTCTGTGAAGTCAACAATTGTTTTAATGAGAATTTAACCAATGATAAATGTAACATGGTTTTTGTGCTATGTTCCAGTTAATTTGGTGTCTTATGATGTGATGATAAATTTAAAATAGTGACAATATTTTTTTAACATTTTATTTATTTTTTTATTTTATGTTTATGAGTGTGTTGCCTCCTAGGGCTACAAGAAGATCCTATCTCTTTTTTTTTTTTAAATTTTTTTTATGTGTATCAATGTATTGCCTGCATGTAGGTAGGTGTACCTGTGCTGTGCAATGCTTGCGGAGGTCAGAGGAGGCTGTCGGATCCCCTGGAACTGGAGTTACAGACAGTTCTTACCTGCCATGTGGGTGCAGGGATTCGAACCCGGGTCTTCTGCAAGAACAACACCAGTGTTCTTAACCACTGAGCCATCTTTTCAGCCCCAAAATGATCCTATCTCAAAAAGACAAAAAAGAAAAGTACTTATTAATTAATAACTTCAAGTTATATTATTTTCAGTATTTCTGGGTTTTAGAGGTGTTTTTATTTTATTTTATTATTTGATTTTTTTTTTTTTTTTTTGGTTTTTTTTTTGAAAGGGGCTCCCTGTAGCTCCAGCTGTCCTGGAACTTGCTATGTAGAACAGGCTGGCCTTGAACTCACAGAGATCCGCCTGCCTCTGCCTCCCGAGTGCTGAGATTAAAAGGTGTGCGCCACCACGCCCGGCTTATTTGATTGATTTTTGAGATAGGGTCTCATATATCCATAGTCTGACTTTGAAGTTACTGCATAGCCAAGGATGACCTTGAACTTCTCTTTTGGTTTTTTTTTTTTTGGTCTTTTTGAGACAGGGTCTCCCTGTAGCCCCAGCTGTCCTGGAACTCACTATGTAGACCAGGCTGGTCTTGAACTCACAGGGATCTGCCCGCCTCTGCCTCCCAAGTGCTGGGATTAAAGGCGTGTGCCACCACCTCTGGCTTCAGTTTTTTGTTTTTGTTTTCATTTTTTTTCAATTTAGTGTATATGAGTGTATTACCTGCATGTTTGTAAGTGCACCTGAGTCATGCAATGCCCAAGGATGTCAGAAGAGGGCATCAGATTCCCCTGGAGTTACAGACAGTTGTTAGCTGTCATGTAGGTGCTGGGAATTGAATCTGGGTCCTCTGCAAGAGCAGCCAGTGCTCTTAACTGCTGAGCTGTCTCTCCATCCCCTGATTTGTTTGGTTTGATTTGGTTATTTTGAGACAGGGACTCCCTGTAGCTCCAACTGACCTATAGACTAGGTTGGCTTTGATCTCACAGAAATCTGCCTCCTTCTGCTTCCTGAGTGCTGGGATTAAGGGCATGTGCCACCATGCCCAGCCTTAGCCTTGAACTTTTAATCCCTCCTTGGTGTCCTGGAACTACAGGCATGCACTGCAATGCCCAGTATTAGGTAGTACTGGGGATCAAACCTAGAGCCTCATACACTCTAGGCAAGTACTCTACCCGTTGAGCTACATCCCCAGTTCTGTGTTTTTTATTTTTGGTGATAGTTGTTTTTTTGTGGTGTTTGGGAATAAAATCCATGGTCTTAAACACATTAAGAATTCTCCTACTAAACTACATCTCCTACCAGGGTATTCTTTGTATCAAAACATTTTTCAACACATATATTCTGCATATAAATTGATATATAGTTATGTATATAGTTGTATAGATATATTTACCAGATAATGTATGGGAAATACATTTAAATGGTTGGGTCTTGAACGATATGGTATACTTGGAGGGACTGTTAATATATGTCTGAATTCTCTTATTTCCTAAGGAAATGGGAAGACACGATGACCTTTGGTCCTTGTTTTACATGTTGGTAGAGTTTGTGGTTGGTCAGCTGCCTTGGAGAAAAATAAAAGACAAGGTAATTTTGAAGTGGAAAGTCAGTTTTGGTAGGGGAAAGAATTTGTTGAAAGTCTGCTTAGTAAACATTACCTAATGTATTCATGTATTGAAATATCATGTAGTAAAGAATGGGGATGAAGTTCAGTCGTAGATGCTTCCCAAGCATTTGTAAGACCCTGGGTTCAATTCCTCGCAATACAAAAGATAAAAAAGAAATATTACATGGTACCCTATTAATGTGTGTATAGTTTTTGTATTTGTATATCAGTTTAGTTGTAAACTAAATTTCTTTTGTTTTGTTTTGTTTGTTTTTTTTTTTGAGACAGGGTTTCTGTGTAGCCCTAACTGACCTGGAACTCACTATGTAGACCAGGCTGGCCTTGAACGCACAGAGATCCTCTGCCTCCCAAATTCTGGGGTTTAAAGGCATGTGCCACCATGCTCGGCTATTTCAAATACTTTAATGCCCTTACATATGGCACTTAAAGTCTACTAGTGGCTTCACTATATGTATATTTTTCTCTCTATGAATTGATATTAGAGAGCTAATTAGACTGATTTTTCTGTGTACATTGAGAATAGGTACTATTTTATAAGTACAGCATTTTTATGATACAAAGTATAGCTCTTTTTTTTTAGTCTGGGTCTCCCTGTAGCCACAGCTAGCCTGGAATTCACTGTGTAGACCAGGCTGGCCTTGAACTCACAGAGCTCTGCCTGCCTCTGCCTCCCAATTGCTAGGACTAAAGGCATATGCCACCACACCTGGGACAGTTCTTATTTTCTAATTGTCAGATTATTTTTTGGAAAAGTATAAACAATGTATTGATAAAGGAAAATAGACCCGGTTTAAAGTGCTCTTTGGGGGATTTTTAGTTCTCTGATGCATATTACTCTTTTGACTCTGCATTATATATTTCCCTTGCTTCCCCCCTTTAAAGCACTGTGTATTAAGCTATTAGTGAAAGCTTAGTTCTTACTTTCTACTTAATTATGCACTGTCTCATTCCTAGCCATGTACATTCTCTTGAGACTATTAACTATAGAGCTTTTAATGCATAACTTCCAAAAGAAATTGAGTTTGATTACTTTTCTCTCTACTTTCCAGGAGCAAGTAGGCTCAATTAAGGAGAGGTATGACCACAGGCTCATGCTGAAGCATCTCCCTCCGGAATTCAGCACCTTTCTTGACCATATCTCCTCTTTGGATTATTTTACAAAACCAGACTACCAGGTAATCATCTTTGTGAGTTCTGTGGGTTCACTTAGTCTCTGCCTTCACTCATTGTAGATTGAAGTGAATGAGAGGTCCCTGGAGTAACATTGTTTTAATACAGCTTGAGAAATGTGAAATTAACATGGTGTTGATGATGCTTTGTGCCTCTGTGTGTGTGTGTGTGTGTGTGTGTGTGTGTGTGTGTGTATGCATGCTTGAGAGAGAGTATGAGTGAGTGTGTGTGTGAGGGAGAGAGATAGAATTAGAGAAAGACTTTTAGGTAAATTTACTTCTAGTTTTAGGTTTACTGTGTAACAGATTTCGCTGTACTTGGTGTGATTCACCATAATATGTATGTATATATGTATATGTATATGTATATGTATATGTATATGTATATGTATATGTATATCACTGGTGATAATTCTAATAAAGTAAATTTAGTAGCAATTCTTGACCAGAAGAAAATGTCCAGCTGGGCAATGTATCTGCTGAGAGCGGCTTATGCTATGGGATGGCAGCCAGTAAACATTACTGACACCATTCCATCTGTGGTCAGTGAATAGTTTCCTTAGAGCATCAGTTAATGAGCCTTTCTGAGGATCAACTAGGTTTGCTACAAATTGTATCCTCATTTCAGAAGATTCTATTTGTTAGGGAGAACCTGGTCAGGGCTTAATTCAAAAACAATTTCTACCACTAAAAACATAAATCAGGCAACACATAGATTAATAAATGTATATAAATTATATAGAATA